GCAGGGGTGTGGAGAGCAGTGTTACAGGCAGAGGTGGAGGAAGGGACATTGCAGTAGAGCACAATACATGGGCAGGGTGTCCTGGGAGCCATACATACACTTCGGGGAGGCAGGGGTGGAAGCGAGCCTGTCCTCTGGAGTGGGGTGCTGGGGGAGCTCAGGGGTAAGAGGTGGTATCTAGGAGGTCAGAGATGCCGGGTTCACTTCCCTGCAAGCAGCTAGAAGCTCCGCAAGGGTTTGAAGCAGATGATCAGATGATAGCTTTGTATTTTACCAATACCACCCTGGTGAGCAGATTGTCGGAGAGCAAGATTAGAGACGGAAGAGCAGCCAGAAGGGGACAGTGCCCAGGCGAGCTATGACGCAGACCCTCGCTGGTGTTGGGGGCAGGAGGGACAGACCTGGTGCAGGCAGCAGGGACTTTGCTTGCTCCCCGTGGCTGTGGAGCTCACTGGGAAGACGGCAGTGGGGGGCAGCAGTGAGGATGGGGAGATGGGCACCATCAGAGAGGCTGCCCCAGGCTCTCCGCACAGAGGATGTTTCAAAGGTTCTGACCCAAACAGATACCTTTTGGGGATGTCTTTTAGGACAGACCCTTCCCTTGGGACCCTCCTTCCCCACCCTGGTTGTGGGCTTTCACTGCCAGGCACGCCTGTCCATCTTCGGGTACCCAGACAGGTGCAGGGACCCGACCCACAGGACGCTGATTGGAGCCTTTTCCTGGATATTAGGAATCCTCGTGTGGGGACGCTGGGTTGGTTACCTGTGGAACTGCCCGGATACCGTCACCTCCTGGCTGCCATAGTCTCCTGGCCGCTCTGCCTTCTCTAATCCTTTAATCTTGTTCTCCTAAATCTACTCTACAAAGAAAGTCAGAGGAGTATCCCTAAAAGACAGCAGCAGCCCCTGGTTTGTCCTGTGGACTCTGGGAGGCCATGCTTGTGCCGAGGGTCACCCAGGGGAGTTTCTGGACAGAAACGAGCAAGGACCTTGGGTGTGATGGGGCCGATGGAGCCCACAGGGTTGTCATGACTAATGCAGCAGGTAAGGAGAGGAGACTGAGGAACTGAGCAACGCCAGATGATCGGGAGCAGGAAGCGGGAGGATGAATGAAACCAGGCTTTGCATTCCAGTCATCCCATGAGCTAAGTCTATGAGATGGCGGGGGTGGGGCACATTCATGCCAGGGAGCCCAGAAATGGTCAGAAATGAGAGGCATCAGCAGCTGCTGGGTGAGAAGGAAAAAAGGAGATTTACTGTCTTTCCCAAGGCAGGTAGACTCCAGATCTGCTTCGTCACTTTGGGCAGCTCTTCCTTATTTTGCTTCCTCTGAAGGTCAGAACCAGGGGAACTTGGATTTGGAGATTCCTGCCTGTAGGTCACATGCCGAAAACAGGGAATTGTGGGAACTGTTGGTTAAACAGTGATATGGGCAGTGTCTTCCTGACTCAGATTCCAGAAAGCTGACAGTCAGGGCTCCACTATGGAGGATTCTCCCCGGTGAAATGCAAGATACACATCAACCTTTAATTTTCTGATAAGTAACATCTTCTTTCTTAGTGCAAGCATGTCCTCAATATTGCCAGTTTTTGTTGGTGAGATCTGGGGTGCAAATCAGGAGAAACTGAGAGGTTCCAGAGAAAAGTCCTGGGGTGCTAACCCTGGCTCCACCCTCCTTGAAATGGTTTGGTCCCTGACTCCTGCAGAGAGGTCCCTGAGTAGATGGTCTGGTACGTACCCTGGGATGTCAGTCACACCCCTCTCACCTTTCAACGACAAAGGAGCTCACGGGTGCAGGGACAATGCGAAGAGCAGAGAGTAGCAGCGAAGCAAAGCAAGTACCAGTCTGCTTCTCCTCTGAGCGTCCCCAGGCTGGGGTGCAGTCTTCCCACCCAGAGCCCCTGTGTCCCTGAGCTGCTGGGAAACCGTTTCCTTCCCTTAAATCTGAGCTTGTCTTCCAAGAAAAACCGAAGCCCCCAGCAGGATGTGTCTGCCTGTGCCCTCACCAGGCTGAGCCCGGGCAGCTTGGATGGAGAGGCTGCCCCTGGGGCAGCCATGGTCCCAGGGTCTCTGCCAAGTGACCCTGGCAGCTGTGGCCTCCTCGTGCCTGGAGCCTGGAGCTGGCCGGGGGCCGACTGCACTCGCTTCTCTGCTGGCAGCGGATGGAGCCAGCTGGCTCCGTCTCCAAAGTGGGCTCCACGGTCCACGCTCACTGTGTGGCCTCAGCAGTGCCCTCTGCCCTGGCTTCACCATGCCAGGAAGGGCTCAGGATCCTTTTCGTCTCTCCTGCGTCCAGAAGCCCCGGGCAGCACAGTGGTCGGATTAACAGCTGGCCCAAGCGCTGGAGAAGCATGGACCTTCGCTGGGTTCACTTGTCCCACAGCTGCTGAGCATTTCCTCTAGGCCTGCCATCAGGACTTTTCCTTCTTCTTTTGTAACTAGTTTAGTTTTGTAAGTTCCGAGTGCTAACATTGATAATTTCATCAGTTGTTCGGAAAGGATGATGACGTCATTTTGGAAGCACAAGCATTTGAAAGACTCCCTAAATATGTGGACTCTGAAGAATCTGAAAAAAAGAAGTACGAAAGTAAAAGGGACATTCTTATCATTAGATAAGAGGAAGGGAATGAGGGGCGGAGGATGGAAGGATGGGTAAGGGGCAGGCGACATGGAGGTGATCAAAGTACGCACTGAATATTTGAATATTTGGATTCAAAACATGCACTGAAGCCACCCCCAAAACCTGAAACTGGTGGGAGGGTGGGGCAAGGGGGGTCAAGGGGGGCAAAAATGACCTAAGTAAGTTACGTGCATGTACGAATTGGCCAAAATGACACCTATATTCTGTATGACCAATATGCACTAGTAAAAGAATTTAAAAAGTGTAAATAGGGGTTTGAGGCATATGGTCTATTAATTTGTCATTCACTGGCACCAGGCATCTCTGAGACTCACCCTGAACACGCTAATGATGGTGGAAAACAGTATGGACAGGGACTGTCCCCCGCCGGTGGGGGTTCACGGGCCCTGGTCACCCCACTGACAGATGGCTGGCTGGAACCTTTGCACCCCAGTTCGTTTTCCTTTTCCAGCTAGGTCTCCGTATATTGCCCAGGCTGGTTTTGAGCTCCAGTTTCTGGTTGGCTGGGGCTGCAGGTGCCCGGCTCCACTTCTTTCTCAATGTGCTAAGACGCTGGACCCGAGGGAGCAGGCAGGAGTGACCAGGAGTGGCGGCAGGACGTCTTCAGCTTGTTTCAGCTCGTCTTCAGCTTGTCTTGGCTCGTCTACGGCAGTGTTGGAGAACTCCAAAGTCCGGGCCGCCTGCTTTTGGAAATAAAGTTTTATTAGAACAGTGCCATGCTGCTTGTTTACATTTGGTCCATGGCTGGTTCTATGCTGCAGGGACAGTGTAGATAGCGGCACCAGTATGGTTTCATGCCTAGGATGAGTAGTATCTGCCCTTTTCAGAAAAAGTCTGCCGAGCCCCATCAGGGGATCATAAAAGACTCCCAAAGTGCCCTCCCAGGAGGCTCTGTTCTCACTGTCCTGAGATGGGCGATTTAAGGGCGCTACAACCCAGGCCAGTGCTGAGAGCATAGGCCCAAAACCACCAGACACTGCAGCTCCAGGGAGCCCAGTGGGCATTTGTTTTTTGAGCTGGTCATACAAGCTGCTCAGGCTGGCCTTGAACTCACGATCTCCAGCCTCAGCCTCCCGCCTACTGCCTACTGGGGTTACAGTCGTGGGCCGCCACACCCGACTGATCTTTAGTTTGTTTGTTTGTTTGTTTATTGGTACTTGGGGCTTGGGCCTTCACGCTAAGCTACAACTGCATGTGTACTGTGTATGTACTGATCCAATTCCCCAAGATGAATGTAACCACCATGTCTATACAAACACATTAATAAAAAAGAAACAACTTATTTTTCTGTTTAGAGACAGAGTCTCTCTGAGTCTCTAACTTGTCCAGGCTGGGCCAAACTTTCCCATCCTTCTGCCTCAGCCTCCCAGAGTGCTGGTATTACAGGCGAGAGTCAGTACTACTGGCTAGGGCTCCAGTGATTAAGATCTGGGAAAGTCAGGCTGGTGGCACACGCCTGTAGTCCCAGCACTTGAGAGGATGAGGCTGAAGGATCCCCGAGTTCAAGGCCAGCCTGAACTACATGGTAAGACCCTGTCTCAAAAAAAATAGAGAACATAAAGACTTGTTCTAGACTCCTTCACTGGTTTAGTCCTCCCGTTGCCCTTCTCGGGCTGGACTCTGCCTTCTCTATTACAGATGGGGACATAGGTGCCCCAGATTCTGGGGGTTAGGGATTTGCTCCAGGCACAAATCCTAAAGCTCCATGCAAACTCTAGGCTCTCTCCAAAGCTGCAGCATGGCTCTGGGAGAGGGTTCTCCTCCACCACCCTTCCTGTCTGACTCCTGCACATTACGGAAGACTGGTGAGGGGGGTGCCGGTGCCAGTGGAGGCCGTGGTCTTTACTGAGCACCTAGTAGCTGCTGGGCCTGGTGGGAGACAGTGGACAGAGAGACCCTACCCTTCGGAGCCTGACTTCCCCGACCGGCACCAGGAGCTGGGGTGAAATCGCCCCTGGGGTGTCAGCCAGGGGGAGGTCAGGGCCTGCGGTGCCTGTGGGGAGAAGAGCGCCCTGCACCTTAGGAGGCTCCGGCTGGAGCCCCGGGGCCTTCGGGAGCCCAAGGTGCTGGGGCTCAGGGAGCAGCTGGAGGTGGAGCCGTGGAGGGCAGGGCAGGCAGAGGAGGCAGGTGAGTCCCGGCCCTGGAGTTAAAGCGGCCCTGAGTGGAGACTCCGGGGAATGAGTGACTCGCTGCCTCCCCATCTGAGGCGGCCCGAATTCCAAGGCGGCCCACTGCTTCTTCTACTCCAGCTCGTCCCGGAAGTGGGGGAGGCAGGAGCCGCCAGTAGCTGGTACTGTGGGTCAGAGGTCAGCCCCGGGTGGCCACTGGATCAGAGGTCAGACTGGAGGGCGGAGATCCCCAGGCTCGGGTACAGAGCTCCCAGCTGCGCCTCCCTGCAGCCGGGTCTGGGAGCCTGGCTCTGAACCCCAGGCTCACGCAGGGAGGTGAGTTGGGGCGCGTCCTCGGGGCGGGGGGCGGGGGCAGAGTGGGCGCCCCGCGAGGTTTCAGCTGTCTCCTAGGAGCGTTGAGCCAGCGTCCGGCGTCGTCCGGTCTCCAGTCAAGGCAGGAGCCGTTTCCCACCCGCTGCATGCAAATTGCCCTCCAGGGAAGGGGCCGCAGCGGGGGAGGCGGGGCTCTGGCTGGTTTACTAGAGGAGCTGCGCAGTCCTTGCCCTCAGCAGGCGGAATGCGGGGATCAATCTGGGGGGGGGGGGATCTGAAGCCACACAGTGTGCTCTGTGCTGCTGCCCAACTTTGCTGAGCTTTCTTTGAGCAAAATGGAGCGTTGAGCTATTAGAATGCTTGCTCTTGTTTGTTTTTTATTTTTTTATCTTGTTTGTTTGAGACACAGACTCTCCCTTGAACTTGCAGGGATACTCCTGCCTCAGCCTCCTAAATGCTGGGATTACAGGCATGCATAGCCACACCCGGCTGCCCCGCTATCTCAGGGAGTCTGGGCACTTTTCTGCTGAGAGATCTCGACCTGGAGTCAGTGTCTGTCGGCCGCTCCGCTCCATCCTGGGACGTGAACTGTCTCTTTTCTCAGGCGTGTCCACCTGCTGGTCATGGCTCACCCTTGTTTTACCTCATGGCCGCTGTGACTGTCCGTGGCCTTGGGTGTCTCTCTCTGGGCCTTGTGTTCTGTACCTGGAATCAGCAGTGTTGACCCCCAGGCCAGGCTGTCCTCACTGTCCCCTTTGTAGGGTTGGGAGCCCATGGAGCGAGTGGGGAGGAGACAGTGAGGTCAGCCTTCGAGGTGGGGGGGGCTGTGGCCAGGGCGGTGGAGGCGGAAGGGTACTGGGTGAGCGCACAGGTTTGGACACGCTCCTGGCACCAGCGTGCCCTGCCTCGTGCACTGGCAGTGGCGCAGCTGCGGCTCCGGCTGGGCCCAGGCATGTGGGTCAGGCTGGCCGAGCTGGCTGTCGCCTCTCGTCTCAGGCTGCCAGGCAGGGCAGAGGCCCCATGCCAGGCTGGAGGGTGGGCACCAATGAGCTCTTCTGGAGAGCAAACACGTGAGCAGAGCAAGCCTCCCTTTTCCCTGGCGGCTATTAGAGGCCACGGGGAGGCTGGAAGAGCTCTGGAGGCTTCTGTTCCTTGGAGGCATGGAAGGTGGGCTCTGCTTTCCTCCCTCGATTCCGCCCTCCGCTCTAGCTCTGGAGCCCTTTGAGGTGACGTCGCTCCCGCCCCTTGCTGGCCTCCTGCACTCAGAGCGGCTGCCAGGAGAGAAGCCCAGGCCTGGCTGCAGGTGGGCACGTGGGCCAGTCCTGGAGGGCACAGGGACGGTCACGTGGCAGTGACGGGTCGCTCAGAACCTTTCCACGTTGAGTCCTGCACGGGCTTGGAGAAGTCCCGTCCCGTTCCTCTGGGATGTGCCAGCCAGGAACCCTCTGTCAGCGGCCGATGCCAGAGCCGCAGAGGTGTGGCGGCTGAGGAGAAGCCCGGCCCCCCTTACCTGTGGTTTTGGTTTCCAAGGTTTAAGTGGCCTGTGGTCAGGCATGGCCGGAAAATAATAATGGGAAATTCCAGAAACCAACAATCCCTCAGTTTGGAATTGAAGGCCGTTCTGAGTCTAGTGATGAAATCTAAGCCACCTGCTCCATCCTGCCTGGGACATGAACTGTCCCTTTGTCCAGTGGATCCACACCATCAACACTACCCGCTGGTCATCAGCGGCCACCAGAGCGGTCGACCCGGTCCACAGCTGCTTGCGTTCAGCTCACCCTTGTTTTACTTCACATCGGCTTCAGGGTACAAGAGCTGAGCTTGTGGCCCAGGAGTGTGTAGAGAGAAGCTGGAAATGCTTCCATCCAGTGAGACAGTGAAGATCCAGGAGATATTCTGAGAGAGAGAAGGAGCACGTTCACATTATTACAGTATGTTGCTGTAAGTGTTCTGTTTTGTTATGAGTTTTGCTGTGGGTCTCTTAATGTGCATAATTTATGCATTTAACTTCGCCATAAGTGTGCAGATATAGGAAAAACATGACACAGGATCTGGTGCTGACCAGGGTTTCAGGTGGCCACCGGGGCGCTTGGCGCACACCCTGTGGATATGGGGGAGCCCTGTGAGTCACTGTGATTGTCGGATGTGTGGTTCGTTGCTTTTTGTGCAACTGCGATGGTTCATTTTGTGTGCCAGCTTCCCTGGCTGGGAGAGGGGAGGCTGCCCACTCGGCTGGGGAACATCCTTCTGGTTCATCTGAGACAGCGCAGTTCAGCCTCTGAATCAGAGCCCCTGAGACCCTGTGTGACACCGGTGGCCCATCCAATCAGCTGAGGGCCCGTGGGGAACAAAGCTCTGGAGGACAGCAAACTCTTCTTCTCTCCTCCCCTTTTCTCTCCTTCTTCCTCTTCTCCTTTTCTCCTTTTTTTGTAGTCCTGGGAATGGACCCTAGGGGTGCTACACCATTGAGGTACATGAGCCTTTTTAATTTTTTTTTGGTACTGGGGATCAAACTCAGGACCTTGAGTTTGTGAGGCAAACGGCGGAACCACTGAACTAAATACCTTTTTATTTTCATTTTGAGGCAGGGTGTCACTAAATTGCCTGAACTTGTGGTCCTCCTGCCTCAGGCTCCCGAGTGCTGGATTCCGTTCATGCACAACCACACCCATCTTCCCTGTCTGTCCTTGAGCTGAGATGTCCATCCTGACCTCAGAGCTCCCGGGTCTCAGGCCTCTGGATTTAGACTGCACTGCCCCGCTGGCTTCCCTATTCTCCAGCTCACAGACAGCAGATCAGGGAGCCTCTTGGCTTCTATAATTGTGTGAGCCATTCCTGTAACCCTGTTGGTTCTGTTTCAGAGGAGAACCCTGACTAACATAATAATAAGAAAGGAAAAACATCAGCTGGTGAAGCAAGGACATCCCTTTGGTTGTAAGTCACATTCTCTTTTCAACTAGGCGTGGTGGCACGTCCTTGTAATCCCTGCATTTGGGAGGCTGAGGCAGGAGGATTGCCTGAATTACAGTGAGAGATCCAGTCTCCAAAAAAAGAAAAAAAATCTGATTTCAGAGACATTAATCCGTGAAAAAAAATGTATGTTTAAGAATCAGTGAAATGTGTATGTGAATGGATGGATGGAGAGAGAAGGAGAATATGAGAATGTGAACCAGAGCAAGAGAATAAAGAAGAAAAAGGGCAGGAGGGAGAGGCAGAAAGAGAGATTTCTGAGGACATCTTTTTTTTTTGTACCGGCGATCGAACTGGGGTCCTTGAGCTTGCACAGCAGGCACCGAAACCACTGAGCTAAATCCCCGGCCCCTCTGAGGGCGTCTTTGAGAGCCTGGATGCAGCCATTCCTGAAGCTGATGTGGGTTGGGAAGCCCACTGAGATCCCTCGTTTCTTAAGCACTGTCTAGTCAGATTTCTTTCCCTTACGCTGAAGGAGGCAGGACTGATCCTCTTCTGATTTGGATCCTTTTTATTACCTAGATGAGTTAACAGAAGGGCTTTTTCCTTCTGTGTCACCCTACCGGCCAGGACACTGTGGTCACTTCACTTGCAGTCCACAGAGCCTTGGGGCGGAGTCTGAGAAGTCCTCAGCAGAGTGCAGAACTGGGCTGGCCTCGGTTGCCAGGCCTCGGTTAGCCCGGTCCAAAGCGCGAGGGCGCCGGGCGGACCTCCTGGCCCGGGTGTGACAGTCCCAGGCGCTTCCAGCTTTCTGGCTGTCCTCGGGGCTTCACCTTCAGGCTGGCTGTCCTTGATGCCCGGTCTCATGGAGACCCTAGAAATTAGTGGGAAGGAGCTTCTCCCCCGCAAGAATTCTACCCACGGGCGGGCGTGGCCCGTCACCAAAGTGACGCTCTAGCCCCGAGCAGAGCAGTGATTGGCCACACGAGGTCACGGGACCCCTGCCTTGGGAGGTGGAGCAAAGCTGCCTAAGAAGGGAGCCGTTTTCCAAAAGGAAACCTTGAGCACCCGCAACAATTCTCCTCCTGTCTCCAGTTGACCCCACCCAGAGCGGCCTCCAGGGCCCCCGGAACCTGGTCCTCGGGGTCCTGGCCTCCCTGGAGATCGTTGGCTTCTCATGGATTCCCTTGTTTACCCCGCTTGGTGGGCCGATGCCCACCTCTGGGATCGCAGATGGGCGGGGTCTCAAGTGCACTTGCGTGTCACGGGCGGGTGCTGACCAGCAGGCCTCGCGTCTGCACAGTGTCCGCGTCCACCCTACAGCGCGGGCGCGTTCCGTCACTCCCGGCCCGTCCTCATGGCTGGACGTCAGGCCTCTTTCTGCCTTCCCTCGGGGACACCCCCAGCCCCAGTACTGGAGGTTGAACCCAGGGCTCACACTGAGCAACATCCCCAGCCCTTTTTAAAATTTTGAGTCAGGGTCTTGCTACATTGCCCCGGGGCCTGAACTTGTGATCCTCCTGCCTCAGCCTCCTAGGGTGCTGATTACAGGCATGTGCCACCACACCAGGCCTTCATTGTGGTTTTGATTAAATCCTTTTTTTTTTGGATGGGGGATCGAACTCAGAACCTTGTGTTTGCGCAGCAGGCGAACCCACTGAGCTAAATCCCTGGTCCCTTGATTAAATCTTTGTTTTTAAGAATTCTCTGTTAGAGGAGACTAAAAACAGATCCTCATTTAACATGCGAGGTTTCTTTGATGAAGAGGAGCCTGAGGACCTGACTTGGTCGGGGAGAAAATGAGCACTCACCTGCCTTCTGCTGTGTAGGAGCTGGGCTGAGTCTTTACAGATTCACCTCGTCATCCCCAGGGCAACTCTGAAAAGCTGGGGGGATTCTGGGAAAGAAGAGGGCAGCTCAGCAGTGCCCCCAGTCCCCAGACACCCGAGTTGGCAATGAACCGGCAGCAGCTCACTCCCTGGGGAGCGGATTCAGCAACTGCTCCTGGTGACAGACACAGTGTGAAGGTGACAGATGTCCCTGGGAGAGAGCAGCTCCAGGGGAGGCAGCTGGAGCTGAGAGCAAAGGCTTCCTTTCCACTCCAAGTCTCAGCATTGGTGGGGCAGGAGCAGAAGTGGTGCCCTGCTGTAGGTCATGACGTTTTCGCCCCAGCATTTGGTCCAAGTTGTTGGGGAGGTTGTTTCGAATTTTTCAGAGTCCAGTCACTGGAAGAGACATTTGAACACTAGAAAGCAGGTAGGCAATCTCACAATTACAGTGAACCTTGTTTGAATATGGTTTATCTATTGAAACAGTCAAACTTTTTGTTCTTATGTTTTCATCTTACTGTGGACTAATAGAAAATTGGTCATGTGGGGATTTAGCTCAGTGGTGCTGCTGCCTGCCTCGAAAGCGCAAGGTCCTGAGTTCGATCCCCGGTACTGCAAAAAAAAAAAAAAAAGAAAGAAAATTGGTCATGAACCAATTTTGAAAAAATTCGAAATTTTTTGAAAAGCACAGATTTTGGGGCCAACTCTAGGTTTGGATCACACGCCTGGTCCTGGGGGTCATGTGACCTTGGCAAAGTCATTTGCACTTTCCTGGTCCTGGGTGGAGGCCTAGAAGGTTACCTGTGGAAACCACCTCAAATCACCAGGGTCCTCCTGCCTCAGCCTCCCATGTGCTGGGATTACAGGTATGCACCACCACGCCTGGCTATGCCAAGGTTCTGGAGGGTGAGTGATACCTGCCAGCCTGTGCCCTGCATGGGCAGGAGCCTTTGCCTCTTGTGGAAGCCCTGCCCCAGGCCTTGTTCTTGCCCCTGGATTGCCAAGGCCTCCCCTGTGCAGCGGTTGACCATGGCGAGGTGGTGTGGCTGGGCTGAGCTGGAGGACAGCAGAGGAACTGGTACCGGGGTCTCCAATGCTCCCCTTCTCAGGTCACAGATGCTTGGGGCCATAGCAGGAACCGTGGAGGAGCAAAGGCCACCTTCACACAGAGCACCTTAGCCCAGCACCCAGCCGAATGGGCCCGTTAAACCCACCGCTGCCAAGCGCGCTCGTTCCTAGGAAGCATTTTTAAAAACCTGATGTCTCCCTTGTGGGTAGCAGAGGGCAACCTGTGGCCTCACCCTGGGCACAGGTGTGGCTGGCAGCGTGGGGACAGAGTGGGGACAGAGTCCCGAGGGCTCTGCACCAGGGTAGCCGGGCTCCCTGGGGAACAGGAAGCCCCCGTGCCAGGTCCGCAGTGGGCGCAGGATGTGAGGCGGGCCCCGCTCACCACATCCCCTTGGCGCCCTGCGAAGACAAAGGCGCCAGCTCTCAACGCACCCTTGTTCTCTGTCAATGGCTCCCATTGTGAGCACCAATTCCCAGCTCCGGGGGTTGGTTCTGTGCCCTGGCCAGAGTTGGAAACCTGGGGACCTGGGTTTCTCTTCTCCCTTCTGTGGGGTGCACAGCACCTCTCAAAATCTGCACCGCAGGAGGGTTCCCCTTGTGCCCCGTTGGTAGCAGGGCTGTGGGACTGGAAGCCAGAGGAGCTGCCTGGCTATCCTCCCCAGGGCACTGTACCTTCCAGGTCTCTGTCATCACCCCCACCTCTATTTGATATCTCCCACTCACGTCAGGACAGAGGCTGGCAAGTTGCTGCCTGCACCTACCACCTGCATTATAAAGTTTTATTGAAACACAGCTAGGTCTGTTCATTTAGTACATGTTGCTTCTGGCTGCTTTGGCCTATAACACATAGTCCAGTAGTGATGACAGAGACAGAGGTTACAGCATTCACAAAGCCTCACATTTTACCAGCTGGCACTGTAAGGAAAAATGTTGCCCTCTCATGATCTAGGGCAGTGATGGCGAACCTTTTAGAGCTTTTGAGGATACAAACAGCTCTCTGTGGCACGTGTGCCTTAGGTTCGCCACCATTGTCCTCAAGGGTTTTAGAAAATTGAACACTTGACATTTCTGTGTCCCCAGCCCTACCCTGGGGACAGAACCCAAGCCTCAAGCATGCCAGGCAAGCACTCCATCACTGAGCTGCCTCTCAGCCCTTTGTGTTGAGACACTAAGTTGCCCACCATGGCCTTGAACTCACAGCGATCCTCCTGCCTCAGTCTCCTGGGTGCTAGGATCACAGGCCATATCCACCATGGCCTTGAACTTGTGACCCTCCTGACTCAGTTTCTCAAGTAGCTGGGGTCACAGGTATGATAATGTTTCCACTCTTTATTACTATTATTTAGTATTTTGTAGTACGAGGATTGAACCCAGGGCCTTTGCACTGAGCTACATCCCCAGCCCTTTTTATTTTGTGAGAAAAGTTCTTGCTAAGTCATTAAGTTGCCCAGGGTGGGCTCAAAGTTGCAATCCTCCTGCCTCAGCCTCTCAAAGTGTGTGCCACCCTGCCTGGCTGCCCACTCTCTAGCTTGTTTGACAGATTCATTCATGTGCACCCAGCTCTGAGCTGTGTGTGGAGGACACTGATGGCTCAGGCAGACACGTGCCTGCCCTTGAGGGAGGCAGAGGAGAAGGCCACCGTACAGGGAGCTCAAACATTCCTCGTCACGGCTGGTTGCATGGTTACAAAGGAGAGGGTGGTGAGCCCTGGGCTGGGCTGGGAGCTGGGGCCAGGACTCTGGAGCAAGGAGCTAGCTGGGCCCTGGAGGGTGACTGGGGTCATCCAGGTCCACAGCGCTGGGTGGGGGAGACTCCCAAAGGACCCCATGGGGCAGGACTCCACCAGGAACACAGGGAGAGCTGGGGGGACCCGAGGGATGAGCCCCAAGATGGGGCACCCCTCTGCCCGCCACAAAGGGGTCTGGGGAGACAGGGCGAGCCCTCCCTCTCCAACCCGCCAGCTTCCTCACTGCAGGACCAGACCCAGCCTTAGTTCAGATCAATGCCCGGTTCTTTGGGAGGGGGCTGCCCAGTTTGGCAGCCAGGAGCCATGGTCAGGCAGCAACATTGCAGTGAATTAAAATAAGGCTGGCAGGGGTCGGATCCCCTGCCACACTGGCCGAGGTG